CAACAAAAAGAGCAAAGTACTACTCTGCTTCCTGGCCTGACCTCCTACCCAAGGGACTTATCTTCCATCTCCTTCTCATAGATCAAAGAGCCATGAATTCAGTAAACTCATTTTCAAAGAATGAAGACTCAAAGAAGTGAGATGAAGATCAGAGCTGTTGCAGAGAATTACAGTTGGGCAGCCAGCATTGGGGCAGAAAGCAAACTTGCAGATGATCCTGAGGCACAAAAGTCACAAAAATAGCCAGAAGAGACAAATTTTCCTAGAACTAAGCTTGAAATTTTATAAACAGAAATGAATCTTAGAGATTTCTCCTCCTGTCCTCCTCTTCTCCTCTTCTTTAGTTTTCTGAGGCAGGGTTTCTCTGTAGCTCTAGTGCCTGCCCTGGAACTCACTCTGTAGACCAGGCTGGCCTCAAACTCACAGAGATCCACTTGCCTCTGCCTCCCAAATTCTGGGATTAAAGGTGTATGCCACCACCACCCGGCAGCGTTTCTTGTATTTCCCAACTTTAGCTTGGGGGTTGTGTGCACACGTGTGTATGTCCTTACAACCTTTGCTAATTACTAGCTGTGAGACCCAGAGCCAGAGCTCCAACTCTTTAAATCTGTGTCATTATCCCTAAAGGGGAATGAAGCCTTTACTTGTTTGTGAAAGGGAATGATGGAAACAGCAGCATTTGACACCACCAAGTGGGTTCTACCAGGTATCAACAGCTCCAAGTACATTATCACATTATCTCCCTATAACCATATAAATGGTCCCCATGAACTTAATTTTACAGATGAATTTCCCAAGATTGAGAGAGGTGAAAAGAGCTGCTACTGTCACATAGCCAAAAAGAAGAGCTGGGTCCCAATTCAGTATATATGTGGCGGAAGGGTTTAAATATAAGTGCTGTTCTCTTCTGCTTCCCCTGTGTATCAGGCATTTGAAAGTAATACAGAGTGGTATCCAATGTATTACTTCTTCCTCACTCTTTACTATTCACTCTTTATAGAAATAACAACGCATGTAGTTTCTTTAACTAGAACATGGTATTTATTGTCTCTCTTAATCTCAAGAAATCTCTGCCTATTTCTGTGTACTCTTTCACCTACTTTACAAATAATAAACTTAAATTCAGCAAGCTGCTGGGGCCATATGGGAAGTCACTGCCAAAACCTAATGAAAACTTTGGTCCTTTTACTTAAAAATCAACTTTTATCTCTTCACATGACACAGCTTCCATAATAAAGAACAGACCATTCATTTTTTATTTGGAAAACTACCAAACCCATAATTCAGTAAGGGGCCTCGTGACCCTACCACCTTGTCAAGGAAAAGAAAGTATATAAAAAATGAGGTTTGCAGGAGCAGAGGGTTTTGGTCTGTCAACTTTCTCTTGGATTACATCCATTAGCCAAGATAAAATAATGTAAAAACTAATGTAACGAATCCCACATCTTTGAAAATACAAGTTAAACACACTGATCCTTCAAACTTATATTTGACACACCAAGAGCAACTGTTAACTACAGAGGGGTTGCAGAGATATGTGTTGTGTCAATCTGAGCTTTCAGATAAAAATGTAACAAGCATTTGGGCTGCTCTGAAAAGAACCCAAGTCAACAATATACATTAAGCAAGCAAGATTTAGGGACTGTGGAGGAGCCTGCAGACCTGAGCACAGCCTTTCAATCTGGTCCATGAGGAATACCAAGCTCAGAAAAGTGAAATGGCCTGAAAGACTACAGACAGGAGATTAGGGACCAGAGAATGAAGATGCTGCCTACAACCTTTCCTCTTGCAATATTTAAAATAATTTTTAAAGACATCTTTTATTTTTATTTACATGTATGTGTGTCTGTCTCTGTGGTCATATGCCAAATGTGTGTGGGTACGCAATGAGAGGAGAAGAGGATGTCTGGCAGTTGTAAGATGCCTGAGAAGATGCTAGGAACTGAACTTGGGTCCTCTGGAAGAACAGTAAGCACTCCTAACTGCTGAGCCATCTTTCCGGCCCCTCCACTTGTAAATCTTGCTTCTGATATTCATAATTAGATTCAGCACTTTCCAGAATTAAAAACTCATGATTCTCAGATCCTGCCTGCCAATACTGGTCATGTGATCATGGGCAATCTATTTCTCAGAGATTCAGGGATTTTTGTCTAAAACTATGGGTCACAGTAGTTTTCCCAAGTAAGCTGGCAGTAATACAAACAAGGAGCCTGACAAATGAAGAAAGTCTCTGTGTTCCCAGCAGAGCCTGTTATACACGCATGCTCAGAAGACACTTCCCTAGCAAATATGCTGAACTTGAACCCAAGTCTGTATGGCTGTTAAACACAAGGTTATACTGCCCAGTTCACAAAATTTCAGAGCAGCATGTTAATTCAGTTTTATATAGTATGAAGAACATAGCTGTTTCCTGGTCATATGGCAGGAAAAACTTCAGTCAAGGAAGTTCTTAGTTTCTTCAGTGCTGTGGCTGGTTTTTACAGCTGAGTGTGGTGGTACACGTTGTACACACAGCACTCTGAAAGCTGAGGCAGGATGATCTCAAATACCTGGCTATGTAGCAAAACTTCATTAGGAAAAAAATCTTGAGGCTATAATGACACTTTGTAACCAAGGAAGCCTGGGTAGCACTAGTTTACCTCTTAGAGACTAAACTTTACTAATTGGAAAAATTACTTTAAAAGGATCATATAACAAATGATGCAGTTTCTACAAAGAAATACAGGGTGACAGGTGACACAGAAGGAACCCTAGTTCCTTCATTCTATTTGCCTTCTAGTTATTTGGGAGATGCCATTCATTTGCTTTACTTCATTTAGACATCCCTTCCTTCCTGAATCTTGTTTCTACAAAGCCCCCAAATTTCTTTTTTTAAAGATTTTTTAAATTATGTGTGTGTGTACATCTGTATGAGTTCATATGCGCAAGTCTGTATGAGTTCATACATGTACAAGTGCTCACAGAGCCTGTTGTAGTTTGAATGAGAATGGCCTTTATTCAGTACATAGTACTTGGTCCCTGGTTGGTGGGGCTGGGAAGGATTTAGAGTATGGCCTTGTTAGAGGAGCTGTGCGGTTGTCTTTGAGGTTTGAAAAAGACTCTTGCCATCCCCCATCATACACTCTATTTTCTGTTTGTGAAGTCTCGCTGCTGTTCCAGTGTCATGCCTGTGTGCCTGCCACCATGACCCTGCAAAAAAGGTAATAGATTCCTATCTCTCTGGAACAATCAGCCCCAAATATTAACTCTTCCGTGTACAGAATGCCTTGGCCATGGCATTATATCACAGCAATAGTAACAAAGACAATGCCAGAGAGCATATCAGATTTCTTGGAACAGGAGATATAGCTGTAAGCTGCCTAATGTAGGTGTCAAGAACTGAAGCCTGATCCTTTGCAAGAGCAATAAGTGCTCTCTCTTACTGATGAGCCATCTCACTAGCCCTCCTCCATCTCCTTGCCCTTTATAGGTCTTACCATCACCAGACATTACACTCAGAGTTTATTATATCTGCTCAACTCTCAGGTGAGCTCCAGAGGAGCAAGGAGTTGTGTTGTTTTGCTTACTGCTGTATCCCAGTAATTAGGAAAGAACTTGACCTACAGTTACTATTTAATAAATATTTGTTGACTGGCCAAACAAACTGAGCAGTGTGAGGCATTGTCTAGGAATGGGAGCTTAATTCTTCTGCTGTGTAACCGTGGCTCATGTCTCATCTGGACTGCCATAACTTCACTGTTCTTTTTATGTCTACTTTGTCTCCTAAAACCATGTTAATCGCAATGAGAGACACTCAAAAAGTCCCTGTCAAATCAGTTCTTTGCTTCACCCTATCCAATGACTTCTTATTACCACGAGAAGAAATCCAGTCCTCCATGGCCTGTGGAGCCCTCCCCTGCTCTCACTGCCCTCTCCCTAGGCTTCAGACACACCACTTTTCCTTTATTCAAGCATGCCACCATCCTTCCTGTTCTTTCTTTTGAGGAAGGGTTTCTTTGTGTAGACCAGGCTAGCTCTGAAATTGTGATCCTCCTGACCCCACTTCCCAACTATTATCTTTTCTTTAAAAAATTTTTAATTTAAGCCGGACATTGGTGGCACATGCCTTTAATCCCAGCACTCGGGAGACAGAGGTAGGTGGATCTCTGTGAGTTCGAGGCCAGCCTGACCTACAGAGCTAGTTCCAGGACAGCCAGATAATTTTAATTTATTATTGGGAGTTGCTGCCACAGGCCAGAGGACAACTCTGCAGATTCAGTTCTCTCCCTCTGCCTGTATGAGGGCTTTAAGAGTCAAACTCCTGTCAGGCTTCCAGGGCACCAAGCCATCTCATCAGCTATCTTCTCTTTTTTAAGTTCAGGAACAAAGATCTATTCTTATTCATTTAAAAATCCATTAAAAAGAAAAAAAAACAACCAAAATAAAACCAACAACAACAGAACCACCACCAACAAAAAACAAAACAAAAACCCACTACTCTGGACTTCTACCTTTCATTCTTCAATTCCAACAGGGAGCATAGGGTTAGAGCTGATGGGTGTTGCGTTGCTTTCTGAATGAGGCCTTGTGCTTTCTACTCACCCTTCTTGGAGTGCTCCCTCCAAGCTGATGCTCCCACCTCATCTCTGCTCTCAACAGAAATGTTAACTCCTTAAATGACCCTCACACTATCACACCCTCTTGATGCTGGTGGCTTTTCTTTCCTCCTAGAATTTATTCATTTATCTGTAATGACTTTATGTGCTAACTTGTCCTAATTTCCCAGCCAGAAGGTAAGAGGATAAGGTATTTTGCAAGCTTACTGCTGTAGACCCATTTCTAGCACACACAGACATCCGCTAAGCAAATCTGCATCCATAAACTGATCTCACAGCACAGCCAGAATGAAAATGCTGGTAAGTAAGCCACACTAGTGGCCCAGGAGTGTCCAGAGGTACTAGTTTCCATCCAAAAACAACTACCCCATGTCACTGAAAAACATGGATTAAAGCCAAACTTACTTAGGAATAGGTACCCGAATTAGTGTCCCTTCCACTTCTGGGTTCAGATTCATTCCACTTTCTCTTATAGCCTTGATAGCTGCAGCTGTACACTGAAAACCAGATCAAAAGGTAAACAGAATTAGTAAATAATTATTACCAGATGCAAGCCCTCTGTCGATAACTGGCAACCCATCTTGGCAGAACATGGAAACATTTAGTTCTGTTACCAGTAAGATCAGGAAGTTACACTGGTGTAGAGTGCTTTGATCAAGCTGAATAGCAAGCCATGTCCACTCCTGGTACCAGTGTATTGCGGAAGGAAAAAAAGAAAGAGAAGAAAAAAGAAAAAGAAAACAGCTCTGCTTCTTTGAAAAGATTTCAATGGTTTGAGGAACACAGATCAAAACCACAATAAATCCTCAAGGGAGGAGGGCTGTTCTGTGCAAAGACTGGTGTAAAGACAGATGAAAGATTTCATACGTTAGAAATTCCAGTTGACATTTTACACTCAAAATATACCAGTGCCGGTTTGGAATGAGTAAACAAATTTAACTCATTCACATCTACACTCACAGAAACTCACTCATGCTTTGGAATGAGCAGTAAACCTCCACTGACATGCATGTACCACAGGAAAGGCAGAGTGGTAGGAAAAAAGCATGAGTCTTGGAGTTAGGAAAACCAGTTTAAATCCAGCTTTGGGACCATACCCTGAGCAACAAATTTAACATCCATAATCTGAGTTGATATGGTTCCTAAACATCACAAAAGCGATGAGATAATGTAAGCAATGTACCTAACTCAGTGACCGGCACACAGTTAACATCCAGCCAAAAGCAGTTATTGTATGAACAAACCATATCCACATATTAAAATGTGTAAATTCCTCCTAACATCCTTCAGGAACTACTCTTGCAGGCTCACTCACTAGTACACAGACTTCCTAATGTCCAATCTCATATTGAACAATATACTGACTGCACCTTGTAAAGACAACAGGGAATGGGTGGAAGACAATGAACTCAAAAGAATAAGGGTCCTACATGTTTCAGAGCTGACCCATGCCACTTGAACTCAAGGGCCAAGTCCTGTCCTTGAGTTCCTCCAGCTTTACGTGTGAATGGCATGGAAAGTGGTACACAGCTACTTTACTTCCCAAGCATTTCACTGCTACTGTTTTAGAGGTATCTAAAAATTTACCAGTTCCATCTTTAAATCACCTAAATTCTACACCTATATGAAGTCAAAACATATGACAAACCAGAGCATACATACACAGATGTGTAGAACCTGAGTGTGTGTGTATCATAAGTATTTACAGTAAATTTTTAAAATGGTGCCTCAGATCATAGACAGTGTTAAGAAGGGATTTCTGACATAATCAAGCATCACCTGTTTATTATGAACAAGGGGGACTACAGGATAAATTCACATCCTTTAGAATAGACAGAACTCCTTGACAGTCCAAGAAAGATGCAATAAAGAGACAACCTATCAAACTTCAGTTACTCTCAGGGGTAAGGAGAGGCTTAGCAGCATTTGGTTTAATGTTGTTACTTTGTCTATATTCTTTTTACAGATCCTCAAGCTCAATGTATTCAGTAATTATTACATAAGGAAATGACTGAGAACAATACATATAAAAGTGGAGTTGGAGAGATGGCTCAGCAATTAAGAGCACTTGCAGAGTGCTCTTAATTACAGAGCACCCAAGTTTTGTTCTCAGCAGCTCACAACCACTTATAATCAAATTCTAGGAGTCCCAACACCATCTTCTGGCCCCTGTGAGTACTGCATGCACCTGGTGCACACATAAGCAAACAAAACACTCATACACATACAATAAAAATTTTAAAACACAGTAAATATTTCTTTGTAGGGAACACCCACCTTAATAATATCATTTATAGAGTTAAGAGTAAAGGGAGTCCTCACTTAAAAGAGGAAGCTTTATCTGCCATCTCCCAGTCTTCTACAGCTTCTCAGCACATAACCAAGAAAACTCTGCTCTAACACCCATAACCTTCTACAGTTCTCAGCACATAACCAATAAACACTGCTGTAACACCCACAACCTTCTTCAGCTTCTCAGCACATAAACAAGAAACACTGCTCTAACACCCACTGTTTGAGTTAGGGTTTTATTGCTGTGAAGACACACCATGACCACAACAACTCTTATAAAGGAAAACAATTACTTGGGGATGATTTACAGTTTCAGAGGTTTAATTCATTATTGTCAAGGTGAGAAGCATGGTAGCATGCAGGCAAACATGATGCTGGAGAGGGAACTGAGTACTACATCTTTATCCACATTCATCAGAAGGAGACGGTCACACTAGGCCTAGCTTGAGCACACTAGACATCAAAGCCTGCCTCCACAGTGACACACTTCCTCTAGCAAGGCCACACCTACTCCAACAAGGCCACATCTCCGAATAGTGCCACTCCCTATGGACCAAGCATTCAAACACATGAGTCTATGGGGGCCATTGCTACTCAAACCACCACACCCTACTACCATCAAGCTCCTTTTCAGTCTGGCCCAAATATTTCCATGCCCCCTTCCCCTGTAGGTATAAGAGTACTCACCACAGATACCAAGCTAGGAAGGAAGTGTGTCTCACTATTTCCACCTTCACAGTGGAAGGCACAGCACTAGTGAAGCACTAGGCAAAAGTGCAGCAAAAAGCTTGCTGAATGAATACTATTAGTAATACCATTCAAATCTCTTACTTTACTTCAAAACCTTATTTTACATTTTAGTTTTGTATGTCTTCATATTCAGGGAAAATTCTTAACTGAGATTCTCATAAAGAAATTTATTGAAAGTAAGTCTTCTACTTTATCTAGGTGTGTATATTTTGGTTTGACTCAGTAGGACTCAGGCCTCAGGAAATTATAGTCATTTCCATAACAGTATGTTTAAACTATTCATGGGTCAAACAGAAAAGGCATACATTCAAATACAATTTCCATCCCTTAGCCTTTATTTCATCACTGGAAGGGGACACTCACCAGTATCACAAGGCAGACTGGTTGTTTGCTCTCAATACTAACCAACTGGTTATGGCTGCTGGAATACTATTGATGGTGAGAAAGAAGCTATAAGAAAGTGACTGCCAACCCAGCAGAGATTTGGTACACATCAGATCCCTTCCATCTACAGACAAATAATAGAGCCTGCTGATGTGATGTTGTTGTCATTGTTACTTGCTTTGTTCAAATGATGCTATGGTTTTCACTTCTCTTCTTTCCCGTCATTAACTGTAGTTTCAGGCATGTTTAGGGAAGAGAGCAACTGTGTACACTATTTATCATGCAGAATATATGCTAAACAAATGCAATGCAGTTTTTGCCTTCGATGCTTTTGAAAGATTATACATGTAAATCTGCATCATGTCACAACAGCATGACACAAAAATGTTCAGGTTTGGAAAGAAAGCCAACTGCACATGAAATAGAAAGGAATTCTATAAACACAGGAGGATTAGCTCAGCATTTTGAAGCTACAAACCTCAGTACTCTATGGGAAGCTTCTAAAGCTGAAGGAAGGAAATGTTTAGTTAGAGCTGTTTGTTTAATATATACACCAGATGAGATAAAAAAAATTCAAAAGACAGTGTAACTCACACTTCCTCATTGTGCCTATACATAAGCCTCTCTACTGAGACACTGGCTAAGCTTTTCCCAAAACCCAAGGAACTGCACACTAAAGAAATGGCAAAGATACTTTAGTTGAAAGATGAAAATATATTCCAACTTCCTAAGAGAATTTTAAGCAATTAATATCTCCTCCTGTTTCATGAGAGATGCTCTGATGGACAATCAGGTGCTACTTCTGTGAATACCATTTTCTATTTACTAGCAGAAGTGGACGGTTCTGAAAAGCAATCTGCCAGATGAGGTCTGTGTAATTAGGAAGCTAGTCCCTCAACTGGCCTATAGTGCCTGGGGAATTAGATGAAGAGGGCAGAGAGGCCTCCGGGGTTCAGAGGGGGATAGTTCCTTTTCATCATTTCTACACTCCTCAGTAACATCATGAATGAATGCTTCTCTTCCATACACCTAATAACACATAGACACCAATTTAAGGACAATGTATGCAGTAATTCCATGTCCCTAGCACTGTTTGATGTGGACACAATAAATAAGTTATATGTGATTCTTCTACTGCAAGCTTACAACTTAGTGAAAAACTGACATCTACATTGTAATTCAAAACATGAGTAGCAAATAGCCAGCCAGAAATGTTCCAAGCCACAGGAGTACAAAGACCCAGAGGGTACAAAAGTCATGACATGTTTTACGGCCAATCTGAATACAGCAGAGTACCAGGAAGACAGTGCCTCAGGACTACAGAGATTCGAAGCAGTCTGAGGCCAGAACAGCCAAAGCCTTGTTCACAGTCAAGATTTTGGACTTTCACTTATTAAAGATAATCTGGATTATGAGAATGACACAATCCAATATATACTTTGAAACATTAAAGTTCACTATGGCTATAGGATAGAGAATGGAGAGGGGCAGTGGTTGAACAACAATAAGTCTAGAAGTACACCTGGCGTACCAGCCGCAGGAGTCTTCTGACTGGAAATGAGCAAAATGACTGAGACAGATACCTGAACAGGAAGGTAAGGAAATGGAGGTCAGAGAGGAAGTAACTTGCCAAAAGACAACGCCAGTTGAAGGCAAAGAGAGGACTGGATTTCAGTTCTCTAGGTTTCTCAACTACAGTAAAAACCATACAGCCTCAAGGTTAAATGCAACTCATCTTCCAGTCTCTAATACCAGGCATTGCTTGTATTGTTCTGTCTAGTCTGAAGGAAGGTGAACTCCTGGAGGGTCTTCTCTGAATTATAATACAAAAGTCACAAAATGGTGTCCCTCAGGCCATATCTAGCCCATTAACATGTTTTATTTGTCTCGAGGATTTTTGTTTGTTTTGACGAAGTTTCATGTAACTAAATTAGCCTTGAACTCTTGATCCTCCTGCCTCCACCTCCCAAGATCTGAAATAACAGACACATGCCAGCCCTCCTGGATGTCCACATTTTAAAAAGAGAAAAGTTAATTAGTTCAAAATATTTAGACAACAAAAATATTTTGTACAAAATTCAGGATTACTGGTTTCTTTTGAAAATAAAAACTGGAACATCTGTTAATACTAATTACCAAACCTACATTTCTGCCTAGCAATTATCAGCAAGAAATGGGCACAGGTGCCCAGATAAGCCACATGATTTCCAAGTGTGGCGGTTTGAGTGAGAATGACCCCTAAGGGTCACATATTTCAATGCTTGGTCTCCATTTGGTGGAACTGTTTGGGAAGGATTAGGAGGTATGGTCTTGTTGGAGGAGATGTGTCACTGAGGGTCAGTTTTGAAGTTTCAAAAGTTCTTCCCTCTGTTCCACCTCCATGCCTGCCTGTTGCCATGTTCCCCCTCCATCACGGTCATAGACTAACTCTCTAGATTTATGAGCCTCAAATTAAATGATTGTTTTTATAAATGCCCTGGTAACGGTGTTTTGTCATAGCAATAGAAGAGTAAGTAAGACATCAGCTTACTAAAGCCTTACACTGGCCCAAGAACCAATCACTACCTCTCCATTATTGTTTTTCAAATTTCTTGCTTGGTCACTATAACATTTGCGTTTAACAGGTAAAAAATTAAGAGATGGGTCTGGAGAGATGGCTCAGTGGTGGAGAGTGGCTGCTCTTCCAAGGGACGTGGGTTTAATTCCCAGCAACCTCATGGAAGCTCACAACTCTCAATAACTCTAGTTCCAGAAGATCTGATGCTGTCACAGACATACATGCAGGCAAAACACCAATGTACAAGAAACAAAAGTAAATCATTTTAAAAAAAATTTAGAGATAAGAGACTTTTCTTGTCCTCTATTTTCTTTAATAAATTTCTTCCCAAAATAATGGGAACATTTCCTTCTGAGCTAATCAAACCTCTGTTATATAAATAAATAAATAAATAAATAAAAAACCTCTGAAGACAGACCCTTTCAATAAAGCACCTCACCTCTGGGAAATTGGCCATATTCACCAAAATCAACTGTGGTGACTTCATGGAGATCTGGCCAATGTGATTTAAAGCAAGTTTCCCATCAGCAGTTACCTCAGTAATATGATCAAGGGATCCTAAAGAAAAAGCAATAAGGTGTTAGAATTCCAAAAGACCTTAGAAGCCCGTATCTTTTTATCTAATTCAGATTCAACAAACATACAGGAGTCCCTTACCAATGTGACAAGGCTATTCACTGGAGCAGATTCAGGCAGTGGATAGAGTATGCAATAAAATACATTGGAATTCCTTACTAGA